GAGCACGCGGATTGTCAATCACCCCGATCAACAGCATGATTCCAGCGGTTTATAGGGCAAAGATAACGTCTTCGCGCTAAGATACCTTCTGTGAAGATTGCATTTGAATGGAGAATTGTGTTCTTCATCTGGTGATTCGCTATCTCACTTATGCGGAACGCGATGATTGGTTGTATATGTGCTTTGCGGGAAAGGCCTTGTTCATAAAAGGGCCTTGTTCATAAATAGTGCGGCTATTACTCGAGTAAATACGATACTGATAAATATAAGGAATTACAAGTTATTTCGTTACTCGTAACGTACCACGTCGGTTTCTATCCGCACTGTCTTTGATCCACTAAGCAGTGCAGATTAAAAGGGTTCTCTCGAGTTGACTTTTCCCTAGTATTTTTTTCTTCTTACTTTTCCTTTTTTCTATTTTTCGATTATTTATTTTTTGTCGATATTTCGAGTGTGTGCGTTGGCGGTGACCTTGGGAGGTGTCTATAAAAGCTGTGGGCGGAATACAATTTGTTAGCTGCGTTTGTGACGTTTGTCTTTCCCCTTACTTCCGTGTCTTCTTCCCTTTTTCTCTCTCGTTTCCTTCCCAGTCTCAGGATTTTAACATCAGAATCAGGGCTTCGTGGCATTTTATTTTCATGATCTCTTCGGGTAACTCCTTGAATATCTTCGGCGAGTAAAATTTTGACAGCGGTAGCAGTTAATGGCCCTTCCCGGCAAAAAAAAGAAAAAGCAGCGCAAAACCCCACTCTTTACCAGAGGCAGTGTTCTTCCTCTCCCCGTCGTTCTTTACGGCTCTCCTGCCGCTCCTCCCTTCCCCCTCGTAGGGAGCCGCTGTTCTTGCTCCGGTGACGCTCGATTCCTTCCTCGGCCCACCCCTCCGATTTTTATCGCTGCAGCAGATACAATTACGAGTGTACGATTACGATTGTATAGCTGCAGCAATACTGGTTTGAATACACGAATGTTACATTTAACGTATCTGGCTCTTATTTGGTCCGGCCCTCTGTCTCTTTAGTTTAGAGGTGCCCTCAATTGGAGTAAAATTGTTCTTACTCATATCAGGCAAAAATATCGAGTCACCGCTTCTTATTTCAATATTGTGTCTATCTGCTGGCCAACTACGAAGTGTTTTAATTAATTCTACAAATGCTTTATTGAAACCACTTGCCAGTGCTTCAAAGTCACGATTTTAAACGAAATCTGTCTGTTTCGGGTCTTCAATTTAGTTGTTTTCTTTTTTCGCCCTAATCATTCGTTTACCATCGACCATTACTCCGCATTATATTTTGTCTTTGAAAAATTCGTCCAAGAGCACTTCTTTTTTGCGCTCCTCATTAAGGTTGTCACTTTGATTCCTATTAACTGATGTTTTGTTTTTGTATTTTTCATTATTCGAAAAAAAAACTTGAGTAGTTGCCAAGCTTTTTTTTTATTGTGTCATCATTTTTTTTAATTATCCATAACTTCTGCTATTTGCGTATTTTTATATTACATTTTTAAGTCAATATTTTCTATATATATTTGAATACATTATTATTGATCTAGTTCAGTTTTATTGGTATTCGTTCATTGAGAATTTTATTGTATTCAGGTTTCTGGATTTATGTATCTACTTTCTCGTTATTGATAAATGACTGCTCTATGTTTTCTCGCCGCTGGTTTTACAAAAAAAAAATCACAATTGGTAATAGTAATACCACAAAACAATGGTCGGCTATGTTTGTCGTAATGTACTGTCCCTCGCATTCCCCTTCTCTGCTTCCTGGAGAATATGTCACGTCTGCGTTAGTTTCCCCCCAGGTCCTTCATCTCGTGCAAACTCATATATAAGCGACTCTAAGCCAACTTGTGACCCGAAATCTAGATATTTAGATGCTATTGAATTTGATGTAATGATGTCTGTGTTGATGTCTCCTACAATTATCATATCGTTGTTGTTTGTTTGTTTTTTTGTAGTTTTTTTTTTTTTGTCACTTGGCCATTTTTGTATACCATCGATGAATTCACCTACTTTACCCCGAGGGGCTCTGTAAGGACCTAAAATTGTAGATAGTTTTTCATGGCAGTCAATGTCAATGTGATGACCAACTGCTGAACAAAGTTACATTTGTTTACTGTTTGCTACCTTCCATTTTTGTTTACCACGATCACGACACATATCCTCCTCTCGTCTCATATCTCTTATGCGAAAAAAAATGTCGAACTTATTAAGGCAAAAGGTTTCTTTACCCGTTTAGCAATTGTTTCACATAATACAGTTACATCGATTTTATTAGGATATGGGTACACCAAAGTATTAAATTTACTCTGACGTTCGTTGTTTTTTTTTTTTTTTTTTTTTTTTTGCGATTATTGGTATGTAACAAAACAAAGCAACACTCGTTTACAGCAGTGCTTACGCCTTCACACCATTTCTAATGTCACCGGACCCTGAGAAAGTAGCGCGGCTGAGCAATCTCTCCTTGACCCCTCTGTTCTTGGTGAGCCGATTTAAATTCGCTGGTGACGGGTAGCTTTATGGAGACGTTTCTTGTATGACGAAAGTTTTCTATCCACACAGGCGAAACAAGCGTACATCTTCGTACCAGCTCCACATGCTGTGTCGGTACTTGGAGGCACTGAAAAAAATAATTTTACTGTTTTTAAATACGCAAGAAGAACAATAATTGTAAGAGATCCGTGGAGATAGGCATGATTGATAAGTTGATTGCATACACAGTGCCAAAGACGCTTATATTATCGAGGAACGCTTCCAGTATGATGAGGCTCCATGGTGATCTCAGCGCGACATGTTTAAAACGACCCTCTGGAAGCTTCGAAGATTTTAACGGACCGAGATGGCGATTTCCATGGCATTGTAGACAGATTAGCCAATCGCATTGCGAGGTTTTGGTCGTCCGTAAGTTAGTATCCGTTTGTGTCGGGCTAGCGGGTAGGCATGGCAGTGGCGCTAGTTTCCCAGGATCCGGTGACTTTAGAGAACCCAAGGTAGAAAGCTCGGGCTGTAGGGGCAGCTGTATCACAAGCTTACTTTTAGAGGCACGTGTAGCTCCTTCAAAAACTGCATACCCGAAAGAAGGAGCTGCAGGAACTGTTAGGGCGCTTCAGCTTGCGCCTGGTATTCACCCTTTTTTTCTGAAGCACGCAATACTTGGGAATTACAATTTTCGGCCATATTGGTGCGTAAAATTATTGTTGTGGTCGAGTTTTACCTTAAGTTGCAGAAAAAGCTTTTCCGTCGTCCTAAAAATGTTAAACCCCGACAAGGGAAAACGATATCACTTGAGCTTTCTGTCAGGTTATGTAAAGCTGAGGAAGTTTTGAACCGTAACGATGGTAAGTTACAGCCCCTGTGCTCTAAGCAGCAAAAATAGTGGCGAGACAACCGGGAATTTGAGTTGCAATACTCATTCTGTGGGCATAACCCAGGCAGCACTTTAGAGAAACGCCTAACGTGGCACAAGCTGGGCCATCCTACACACTTAGGAACAATCTACTAAAAAGCTAGTAACTGCAGAAGTTACTACCCTTTTCTGATTGTTACTACCTTTTATTAACTATTTACTAGTGCAAACGCGCGACACGTAGTAACTGCAGCTGCAATGCGGGGAAGAGAGAACATGGCGGTTGGGCACCTATGGGGACGCTGTTTTACAGACTGCCGAAAATAATTACTGCGTGTGCCGTCACTTCTTAGTAAGAGGTACATGCCTCGGAATGTCTAGAAACAAAATTGGAGAACAACATTGGTGAGAAAGCGGCACCATATTTGTGCCATCATTCATGGACGACGTGGCCATTGACCAATAGACTTATTTCAAAGGACCAGTATAATAGACGCATGGGAAGGTATTGTGCGGGCAGCAAATGGGTTAGCGTATCGTCGCATCTGTGTTGTGCGTGTGTGTTATCTGTGTTGGAATTCGAAAACCTGTGTTAAATGCATAATGCGTGTGCAATTGTTCGTGTAAACAGCGTGAAAAAAAAAATCTACCCCAGCGATAACAATTTGTTTTGCACGTTTTAAATTTGGCGTTGACTAGCGTCACCTGTGTCTTGTGAGAGTTAGTGACAGTTACTAGCTAAATATATTGAAACATACTAGATTGGTATTAACCGTTACTAGTTTTTTGACCTAGTAATGCTCTTGTCCCACTAGAGCGACAGACAGAAGCAAAAGATAGCGGCAAGCCTCAAACACATGCAGCGTGCTCGCGATAATACCTTTGGCAGGCGTTTAGTCGTTCGGTGCTCGTGAAGTAAGCACGAGCGATTGCAAGCTCTGCCAAAGATACCCTCGCATGCATGATGCTCGTGTTTGAGGATAGCCTCCTTAATTCTACAAAGCCTCTCAAATCGCGAAAGACTCTGGTTTGAGGCTTGTCGCTGTCGTTTGTTTCTGACTGTCGCTCTAGTGGGACACGGGCGTAACCGTAACTAGCTGGAACGTTACTACCTACGGTTACTGCACCTCGTAACATATGTGACAATCAGTTACTAGCTTTTTCAAGAAAATACTACTAGCTCCATTTTTTTAAGAATGTAAGGTCATACCTTCAGCCGCTCCCAGGTGTTAAGGCCAGAGTACGGTTCTTTGGCGTTTCTGCGGTTTTTCTCTGGCTCGCCAGATAATGGTCAAATAGCAAGACTCGAGCGAAATATACCAGATGCTAGCCAAACTACATGGAGTGAAGCTTAACTTTGGCACTTATTTGGAGGCCAAGATACCCAGACTCTGGACAAAGAACGCTCTAACGTGACTTCCTTGGGCTTTTCAAGAACCTAAATTCCCAGACAAAGTTGTCAAAAGCACTGCGTTGCCAGAGAAGGACCTACCAAAAAAGGCCGATCCAGGCACATACATAGCACACTCGTCGCAAAAGGTCTCTTGCGAAACGCCGGACGAAGTGCAAGTGCCCGCTGCGCGCTCTCGTCCTCGGGCGCGGTGCTTTGAGACTGGCCGAGGAGCGTGCTCTGAGCGTGTTCTCTCCCCGCAGAGGACCGCAAGCTGTTCGTGGGCATGCTGAGCAAGCAGCAGACGGAGGACGACGTGCGCCAGCTTTTCCAGTCCTACGGCACGATAGAGGAGTGCACGATACTCCGGGGCCCCGACGGCCAGAGCAAAGGTGAGGACTTCCCGGGAGCCCCGTCTCACAGTCTATGCGACGGCCCTAACGGCCGGGCTGCACTGACTACTCGGGTATTCCGTTCGCCCCTACGCCCCTACACCGGCTTCGCTGTGCTTGACCTTTCATTGCCTGACACCGACTCTGGTGTGGTGCCCGATCACGGGGCAGAAAGATAGGGGTATGACCCAACCAAGAAGCACGTAGCTTCCATTGCATTCTCTGCGTAAGAAGGAACGGACACACGGAGGCTGCGGAAGGCGGTGGCGCCGTAACGAAGCAACACAGGGTCGCGTTGCGGATATGATGACAAATGACCTCCACGCCGATCGCCATCTGCCAGTCCAAAAACGAGAGTTTTCGATTATCCGCCGTCGCTTTGTCCACTCGTTCAGGCTCCTCTCCGCGCATCGCCAGGCGTACTCTTGCCATTTTCCAATAAATCCGAGCCAAAGACGAGGTTTAGATGCGATGGAGACAGAAAATAGGTTGGCAGTTCGTACACTACCTGTATCTTATTGTTTCGTCCGTAGATTTCATATTCAAGAATCCAAGAATTATTGTTTTAATAACCGGGAGCTCTCAATAATAATATTTGGGTTCTGTGTACCTTTATACAGCCTAGAACTTGGTCTGCCTCAACGGGCGACGAGTCTTTCAGCTGTAGATGAGCAATTTAGTCAGTGCAGTACGACCGCTAGCGTGGGGTCTTTAACGTGCATCACGCAGTAGTTATACACCACCGCACTCCGGTACGATGCTCATCCTGATCCAAACGGGCAGGGGTGGTGATTGAACCCAGTATCCTGGGTTCTGCAGTGCGAGCTTTGGCTCGACGTGCTCCGAGCTGGTGTGCGCTAGACCACTTAACATCCAATCCCCCCCCCCCCCCCCCTTTGTTTTCTTCTCGGGCCTTTCCGGCGTATGGCCTTGTTAGGTCGTTATCATTGGCCTTGTCCCACCATGCGCGAGGTTTTTGCAAGAGTCCGTCGCTTCCCGCGCTGTGCCTGGTTCCTCCGCTGGGCCGTATTCACGACCAGCCGTCAGCTTCCCTCTTCCTTGTTGGCGATTCCTCGAGGAGAGCATGTTTCCCCTCTTGACAACGGCAGCCTCGTCGCGGTCCTCTGTTTGTACGTGGAGGCTCATTTTCTCAGCGCGAAATGGTAACTATAGTATCTCGCGCAATCGGTTAATTCACACGTTCAGTTTGACGCGCAGCGGCGCATTCACTCGAGAAGGTTTCACAAAACCATCTGCGTCAGAATTATAAAGCGTTTCGTAGCAAATGATGTGCAAGTACGCACAATGTGAAGAGGCAGTCTGCTTTACTACGAGATAAACATGGCCTCTAAATATTTGCCTATCTCGGTTCACTAAGCCACGGCCAAGCGGGTGAAGCGCCCACACTTTCAAAGCACAGTCCAATAACGTCCAGTTGTTTCGGCAGTTTAAAAGATCAGGTACCCCTTGCACGCGTCGCGAGTGTTGCGAAATTGCACCGCGCCTTGGGCCCGAAAGCAGCCATTTCTTTTCTTGTCGCTCGCGCCATGCTTGTCTTCTTCGACTTTGGTTGTGTACGGGATCGGGCGAAGAACCGGCTGCGCCAAAAGCTCGTTCCGTCTGGAGATCAGACGTCTTAGCGATGTCGAGTAGCCATTGGCAGAGTTTTTCCACCGGGTGATCGACACGTCTCGGTCAAGTATCAGCAACGCTGCAAGAGCTACAAGTGAGCGCGACTTCTTACAGCAAATGTGCTCTCCCCACAACTGGAAATGAGGTCCATCGTCGTTGTAGTTGGCCGACGGCGGCCGTCGCGATATTGGCAACTGATTGAAGAAAGATCGCTTGGGTGACTAAGAAAGACGAAAGTTGTGAAACACACCCTCGCGGCACAACGAAGTTCATTTCGGGCAGACGCTTTTGTCAAGCATGGCAAACAGTTCTTTGCCCCCTGTACCAAGATTGGTCGCAGGGGGCGGTAAAGTTTTAAAGCATAAGAGTTTTTTGTTTTTGTTTTAAGAAGCATTTTATGGGATATTTGTGAATAGATTAAACGTTAGAGATAAAGGGAGGAGATCTGGCACAAAAGGAGGAACACACACACTACCATTTTCATTCTCCAAGAACTGCACCCGGCGCGCCTACCAGCATTCGCGAAAACAAAATTCTTGATCTATTTGTATCTGTATTCCGCAGTAGGGTTTTGCCGCTTTTCTAAACGTATTTCAGGCATATCCCGTCATATAAAAGGCAAACGCATCTGAGCATCCGCATTTTTGTCTTAAAATACACGTATCTCAGTATTTGTATTCACGAACACATTTTTTTTAGCAGTTTTGCCGAACTCTGATACCTAATCGCATGCCGTACGCTTCGCCAACCTCAACATGGCCATGTTTATCATTGGGGACATATAATGGGCACCAGATCACGTGTTCGGTTGTTCTGGTTATGAGCTGAACCAACACCACCCGCAGTCAGGTTAAAAGATGCGCCACAATTTTCGTTTTCCCGCTCCTCGCCTTCTGTCTCGGTTTGACTGGGGGTGCACTCTTAAAAAGACACTGACATCCCCCCGAATTTTTTTTTTGCCAGGCGATTTATTATGGTCTCAGAAGACTAGCCGGTTAATTATTTTCTACAGGGTCACACATATTTTTAATAAAGTCAAAAAACGCAACTGCTCGAAACCGGACTGGGGAGGAAGAAGCAATATAGAGGCGAAGAGAGTTGGTTGAAGTCACGTGACTGTGCAGCTTTTTTCTCTCCAATCAACGTATTTGCAGCTTTTTACAAGCCGCAAAAAAATGGGTATCATATTTCTCTTCTATTCTTAATATTGTGTGTGTGCCTTCGATGACCAGCGACTTCGCTTACATTTGGTGGTCGTGTCTAAACCGTAAAAAACGGCTCGTGACCTCGGAGAACAAAGTGAGCGCGACTCAAACCGGCCAGTTCTCCATCGGCGGTTTTCGGGGGGAAAAACGAATTTTGAGCCGCGAATTGTTTTCCGGGTAGTTGCCCTGTTATATGTCATGTACAAATACAAACCTTGGCGAGCATATATACCCTGTCAGTGTCCCTTTAAAAAGAAGTATGTATATATTGGAAATCATGGTGTAAGGCGCAAAAAACAACGGACACAAGGGCGAAATCAGACATATACAGGCCCCACTCACAACTATATTTGAATAGTTCAGGAAGAAAAGAATACATATGTCGTCATCTGCATCATGTCCACGTATGCGCTTAGCCATGTGATATACGCCCCATCACCCATTCACAAAAACTTATCCAGTAATAATCTCGGCATTTATAAAGTGCAATAAAGTGCAATGGCTCACACCCACATTTGCTGCTTCTGAGACAGCGATTCTGGGCAAAGGCAAGTACCAAAAAGCGTGCTTGTTTTTGGAAACGTATCTTATCAGAAAAAAGGGGTACACAATGCGTAAGTGACACATCTATAGCACTCTATAATGCCGAGAATAAATTATTTGGTAAATTGTTGTGAATGGGAGATGAAGCGTATATCACATGGCCAAGCGCATGCGTGGACGTGATGAAGACGACGTCATCTGTATTATTTTCTTTCTGCACTTTTCAAATATAGTAGTGAGTGGCGCCTTTAAGTCTGATCTCTCTTGTGTCCGTTGTTTTTTGCGCCTTACATCATTATTTCCAACGTTCACCAACTAGCCCAACTACAAGTTCTTCCACGGTGTATTATTCCTCCATAAACGGTGGAACGGTGTCTTCCCTTATGTTCCTCTAGAAATGGAGCAACGTTCGTCCCTGCAAATGGGGGAGCAACGTTCCTCTCTCGTCTGTGCAGCAATATGGCGGCTCCGAATCGAGTGAATAGAGCTCAAGTAAGGCTTAACTAGGACGTCAGGACGCTACGCCTAGCGTAGATCTTTACGGGGATCGCTGCTCCGATTCAACCGAAATGACCTAGCGTAGTTTTCGGACTTCGCATGCCACTACACACGATACAGTACAGCTCACATATAGGGAGAACATGCAACAGAACACATTCAGACATCAACATGACCGCACACTAGCCCCTTCAGTGATTCGTTACACTGCGCTTCCGCCTTTTATACTGGTTGTTTTGAGGGTACGGATTTTCTCGATGAGAACCTAAGCACTAAATAATATTTCCAAAATGTTTAGTATGTTTTTTTGTTTTGTTTTAGTTGTGTCATGCTTGCGGAAGTATTTTAAACGGCTCGGGGGATGAGCTCCTTAGAAAAAATGCAGACCCTCATGGCGTAAATATTCGAACGCCAATAAAACAAGCCGCTCCACTATATGGTTTCTTCCATGCGTTTGCTTCCCCGCACAACACGTCGTAAAATGGCGCGAATGGGCGCCAGTTTTTCTATTGTAGTTTCTCTTTTTGTGCTGTTCCCGTGCGGCTGTAATCGTCGTCTTGAATTAATCTCTGTAGACTCAGCTGGAAGCGATGCCGGCGATGCTTTCCGGGCAGCGAATTTGCCTTTCGACCAACATGAATGCATTCAGAGCCGCGACTTGCGGCAGGTGCTAGGACGGAGCTACGCAGCTACACAGTCGCGAGCTTCGAAACTTCTAGGGACCATTACAGCGCGTCACTGAGAGGGCAGTTTCTCCGGGAACCGTAGTATATTTAAACAGCAAAATCAAGGATAGTATTTTTTGTAGAGTTTACCTACCACCCAGCCTTAATGCTAAATTCCGAACTGTAAATATACGCAGTTTCCGTCATATTTCAAGACTGCTCAGTCTTTACCCCAGAGCGCAATCGTCCTTGGTAAGGGGAGAAGACATCGCAGACGACAGTCACATTTACCATTGTAGTATACGAGCTACAGTTTAGACCAGCGTTCCAACATGACTTTCCGCAGGTCGATCGTAATCCGTAATCCCTCAAGAAATCTTAAACTCTTTGATGCAAAGCGTAATGTCGAATTGCGACACCCCACCCTCTTCGATCACCGCCCGACCAGCGGCATCAA